GGCTACCATCCATGACAACAAACAGACCTCGCGGCTAAATTTGGATCGTGCGCGGCCACCCCGCGGTAACTATCAAGTGGTGGCGTATGGCCTGCTGTGCGCAGGCCCACCAGACACAATGATGGGCATTGGTTTTCGCGATGGGCAGTGGGGGCCGACATGTTTCCCGATGTGTGCTGTCACGTTCGCAGGCGCGCCTGACACACTCTGCACGTGCCCCGAACATGGCGCATCTGGCGCGGCTGGAATATGCGAAACACCTGGCGGACGCGGAGGCACGTGGCGCATCTGGCGCACCAGGCGTGCCTGGCACGCTCGGGCCCCAGGGGTGCCTCGCGCGCGTGGCGCGCCTGGCACGCGTGGCGCACCTCGCCCCAACGTCGCGCACATGGGCTCGATTTTGGTTCCCCGTAGCTGTCCATCCAAAGACGACCGCTGAACATGCTGAGGCTCGGGTGTTACTTATGTGTTGGGATGGCGGGTGGGAGTGAGCTGGACGGCTTGCTATCTAGGAGGGTGTCTTTGCTCACTGTTCCCTATTAATATACACCCCGTCCCCAACCCGGCCAGCAGCCACCCCGGAACATTGAGAACCCTATGAAAGCCCCCCCCACCATCGCTGTCAACAAATAATACAAAACGCACTCTGCTTCCACCTTTGGAGCATGCGCGGCCGCCCCGCGATCATCTTGTATCAACAGGAAGTTGGGGGGTGAGATCGCAGTGGAACGGAGACCCCCAACCTGGAAATCGTTTCGTGTCGTTTCGTTCGTGTCGTGCGTGCGGGCGAAGCGAAGCTGCGTGGGCGCGCGAGAGGAATGAACCCGCCGTTGCTAGGGCGAAGTCAAGACAAATGCTTCTCCCCCGCACGCCCGTCCGGCGGTGGCTCGCGGTGTCCCTCGGTGTCCCGTGGTGTCCGCCGTTGCTAGGGCGAAGTCAAGACAAATGATTCTCCCCCGCCCGCCCGTCCGGCGGTGGCTCGCGGTTTCCCGCGGTGTCCCGTGGTGTCCCATGGTGTCCCGTGGTGCCCGTTGAGTGAGATCGATAGTGATATCAATACTGAGATAGATGTGGTGCCCCTAGGTGTCCCGTGGTGTCCCAAAAAATGAGATCGATAGTGAGATCGACAAGTGTCCCGTGGTGTCCCGTGGTGTCTCGTTGAATGAGATCGATAATAAGATCGATGTGGTGTCCCGAGGTGTCCCGCGGTGTCCCGTGGTGTCCCGTTTAGTGAGATCGATAATGAGATCGATTGAGTCAGATGTTGGTTCCCCCCCTCTCCCCCCCCACATCTCCTTATCACCCAAAGGGTGGTCGTATAGGTATTTTACAGGGGCGGCTGGGGCGCCAGCATATCCCACCTGCCTTCTGGGCGCAGGTAGTCGACCGACTGGTTTGACACATCAGTGGCTGCTGCCTTTTCGCCTTATGGTTTCCGATGGGCTTTCGAAACCTCCACATGGCTCCAAGACTGGCCAAGAAAGCTCAAAACGGGGCCCCAAGAGGCTTCCAAACCGGCCCCAAGAACGCCCCAAGCTGGCGCCACGAGGGCGCCAAGAGGCGGTTTTGAGGACCCCAGAGGGGGAGGCCTCCAGGTGGATGGCCCAAGGGAGCTCCAAGCCGGGCCTACGAGGCCTCCAAGACGGCCCCAAGAGCGCCCCAAGGTGGCCCAAAGAGGGCCTCAAGAGGCTATTTTGAGGGCCCCTGAAGGGGGGAGCTAGCCCCATATATGATCCAGGGTCGAGGGCCCACGGGCCCCCCCCCCCCCCCCCCAGATGGTATGGTCCCAGGATTCCTCGGGCCCCCCCCCCCCCAGATGGTATGGTCCCAGAGACGACGACGACGACGACGACGACGACGGCGACGACGGCGACGACGACGACGACGACGACGACGACGACGACCACGACGACGACAACGACGGCTGCGGCGGCGACGACGCCGGCGGCGGCGGCGACGACGACGATGACGACGATGACGACGGCGACGACGACGACGACGACGACGACGACGATGACGACGACGACGACGACGAGACGACGACGAGGACGACGACGACGACGACGACGACGACGACGACGACCTCTGAACCACCACAGCACCACACCACATCCACAGGGGGGGGGGAGGGGGGCACCGCAGTGCAACACCACGCCACGCCCACCTCTGAACCACCACAGCACCACACCACATCCACAGGGGGGGGGGGGGGGGGGAACCGCAGCGCAGCACCACGCCACGCGCACAGGGGGGGGCGGGGGGGACCATCGCGCGGGGGTGGGGGCCCAATGGCATCAGCATTGGGGGGGGGGGGCCCAAACCCTGGACCATATATATAGAGGGGGCTGAGCGTCCCTCGTCGTGTGTTTGATCGATTGCCCCCAAGGCTATCCACGGCTCCCGCGAGGGCCCCAAGAGTGATGGCCCAAGAGACGACTAGAAACCCCGACAACGAGGCCGCATCGTCGAAATCCGACGGAAACTCTTACCAGCAAGCCGGAGGGTACTTTTTCGCCCAAGGGCCTCAGAGAGCCCAAGATGACCTCCAAGATGGCCCAAGATGCCTCAAGTCGGCCCCCAAAAAGCTCCAAGAGGCCCCAAGAACGCTCCAAGACGGCTCCAAGAAGCATCCGAGACCTCCAAAGAGGTCTCCAAGAAACCAGAATCCTTCCAACACCTGAGAAAAACATGTTTTCGCGTTCTCGCCTTTTCGCTTGCGATGGCCATCCGAGGCCTCAAGATGGCTCCAAGGTGGCCCAATAAGGACCCAGGAGAGACCCAGGAGAGCCCCAAGACGGCCCCAAGAGCGCTCCTAGGTCGCCCCAAGAGGTGACTTTTGGGGCTCCCAACGGGGGGGGGCGAATTAGGGAAGCCCTCTTCTTTGATCGATCTCCTCCAAGATTGCCCCAAGAGCGCTCGTAAGGCTCCCAAGAGCGCCCCACGATGGCTCCAAGAGGCGTCCAGACGGCCTCACGAGGCGCCCAAGATGTCTCCAAGAGGCTCCCAAGAGGCCCCCAAGAGGCTTCAAGATGATCCCCGAGGCACCCAAGATGCCCCCCAGACGTTCCAAGAGGCACTCAAACAACTCCCAAGAGACATCCGAGGAGGCTCTAGGCTCTTATCTGCGGTCTTTTTCTCCTCCTCCTCCTTTTCCTCTCCCTCGGCTTAAATATGCGCAAAGACGGCCCTGGGCTCGCCAAGATGCCCCTTCTCCTCCTCCTCCTCCTCCTCCTCCTCCTCCTTGTCGACTGTCTCTTCCTCCTTCCTCCTCTTCGCCCTCCTCCTCCTCCTCCTCATCCTTCTCCTCCGACATCCTCCTCCTCTTGGCGTATCAGACAGCTTCCCCCGCCCTTTGTTCTTCTGCAAGCTCCCCCACTTCCCTAATCACCTCCACTCCCCTGGGCATCGTTTCTGGAAACGTCAACAATATGCTGCGGCCTCATGGGGCCTCCGACAGTAGCCTGCCGCACACTACAACCTTCTCAACACTTCGAACAACATCGGCACATTGGATGCTCTGCTGGTGGTCCAGCTTTCCGCGAACATCTGGGTCATGTGGGATAGGGCATTGCATCTGCCCACTTGGCAGAACTGGTCCCAGTTCGAGAATACGTGTGACAATGGTAACTCACGTATTGTGTGTCGGCATCAGATTACGGGGTTTGTGATTACGACCTCCTGGATCGTTTGAAAGCTGCTTCCTGTTAGGTTGTGTGGTTGCATGCTGCTACACATGCATGCAAGGTTGAATAGACTTGCGTGTCCAAGAAGCCGTGCAATTGAACTAAACGATCGGCAATTGTTTGCGATTCCTCTAGGGATGCTTCAAACGCGTCTGAAGATGCCGTTTTGCTTCGCTGCCGAAAGCAACAAAGGATGGGCGGCGGGTGGATATGTAATGCGACCCGACGCCAATTTTCAAACAACACGTGATGACGTTTCGGTGGGCAGCACCCGCGTCGTGCCCTTAATGGCGAGTCACCCACGCATGCTGTGAGCTGCGTGGTCGCCATTGTATGATGGGCGTGCTGGCGAAGCTGGTTCTGGCTTTGCTGAGTCTTAGCGTGATATTGTGATGTCTTGGGCAAGACTACAACTTGCGTCTGGTAAGCTGCAGCGGTTGCCACGCCTGGTGCATCATGCTGGCAAGGTCGCCATTCGTAGATTGCATACCAACGCAACGTGTGGCCTGGCAAGGCTCGATTGTTTGCGCCGCAAGGTGAGCCGCGCAACATCACACGAGCAACGAACCCATGAATTCGGGACATGACACCACACATCATAATACCACACACCACCACACGGGACCTCGCTGGCACAAGATTCTGTGGAATGGGGAAGGGGCCAGAAAGCCGATCCCACCCTGGGTTCTGTAGGATGTTGATGATAAGGAACGCCTTGTACTCGAAGGGCGGTGACTTCGAACCGACATTCGATACAACGCACGCACACATTCAACTGTTGGGGTCGCGGTGCCACGTGGCTTCGAGCAGGCAAAGAGACGAGATAACTGGCAGAAGCATTCGCGGACCCGATGGCTGGCCTGCGCGAGCTCCCTTTACTCGTGTCGTGAGGAGCACTTCCAGCATTCGCTGTTCAGGGCAGGCCCAGGTGGAGTCATGACTGAGTGATGTCTTCCACTCGGGAGGATACATGTAGTCGTCTGAGTGCACGCGCTGGTATCGCGAATCGATTGGCAATCGTGACGCCACGTTGTCGCCATTCTACCATCATACGGTTCCCAGAATCATGGAGAGCCAGAAACCCCCACGACAACAACCTCTACGCTTCCGACCCCAGCGTGCAGGACATACAGCAGAAGCAAGAGAACCGTGCCCACACACCGATGCTGGCCAGGCCCACTTCCTGGGACAAGGATAGGTAAATGCGCCCTCCTTGCCTGGCCAGTGAGGCATGTACACCGATCCTAGGCCCAGGATGAGCGTGGCCAGAAAAGGTGTATGCGCATAGTTCCTGTCGCCCGATAAGATAAGAATATTGAGGTTGAACGCGGCCGCAGCTGCTGCGTCCAGAGGCGGATCGAACGTGACTGCTGCAGCAGGGGTCCAAGGGCGCTGCGTCGGCCATTTGGCCCTGTATAAAGGCTGGCTATCGCCGAACCCTGCAGCGCATGCTGCGTCAGTACGGGGTCAGAGGATCGCACCACTCCATTGGGCATGAGCGTCTCGCAATCCACAGTAACACTGCGACGCGGCTATGCCTTCTCCGCGGCGGCCACGGTCGGTCCCTAAAACTACTCGTCCTCTTCCCCTTTCACACGCCGGCCATCATCGTCGTACGCGCACTTGTGGCACCAGGCGTCAGCTGGCCAGTCAAAGCCGATGTCGCCGACGACGTTGTGCTCCTCGAAGAGGGCGAAGAGGAGGACGTAGTACGTCTGATCCGACCACCGGTTCAGGTAGATGCGCCCGTCCGCGTTGAATGCCTCTGCCAGCTTGCGGACCTTCTCGGACCTGAAGAAATCAAGATCCCCCATTCCTGGGGAGACCAAAAGGTACCTATACCGCTACTCCCCGGACCTCTCCCAGGGTGCGTTCTGATCAGAATTTCGAGGCGAATCCAGCTGTGGCGACGAGGGCCTCCGAGGAGGCCCCAAAAGGGGAAAACGGGCGGAGGGTAGAGGTATGGGTACCTTTCCCTCCTCTGACTGCCTACGTAGCCCACGTAGTTCACCCTCGCGCCGTGCTCGCGGAAGAAGATGGGATCCTTTGCGGTCAGGCCCTGCGTCTGCCGGTACTGGTCGAACCACTCGAACAGGCCATCTGAGCAATCCGAGTTCCCGATCCTCTTGCGTGTCTGCCACATGAACTTCCGGTTGGACTTCGCCATCATGCAGAACGGGTCTGCCTGGAGATCAGCGTTGAAATCGAAGTCCGCATCTATTCTCATGTAGTACCTGTACTTGTCCAGGGCAGGGAGCTCGTACATCGCCTTAGTGAAGAACTGGTTCATGTGCTTGTAGCTGGTGCTGACGGCTTTTGCACAGCCATTCATCTTGCTTTTCCAATCGTGGTCGTCGGCGATCACCTTTGGAAACTCGACGTTGAACGGTACGACCTCCCAGTTGTAATCCTTTCCGAGTTCAGAAAGCATTACGGCACTCACTTCCGCCGAGGTAGGCGAGTTCCCGAAGCTAGAACTGTCGTACTTGCGCAGAGCGTAGTCCGGGATGAAGACCTTCACGTCGTACGCCCAACGCTTGAGGACGTAGCTGCGCAAATGTGGCGCGCTCGACTTCAGCCTCTCAAGATCTGATGGCCGGGTCACTAAGTACGTGATGACCCCGTTCTCGAGACTGGTCTGGGCCTTGCACTGACTCGTCGCCTCGGCGACCCAGTACTTCTGGTTCGAGTCGGGCTTATGCTTCTCGGGGCCGCCTGCGCTGATCCTCTGTGGGATATCCTCTCCCGCGTGCTTGAAGTACCACGTGTCGAAGTCGTCATCCTCGTCTGCATCCCTGGCGCCAGCCATGAGGTCCTCCAGAGGAAGAAAGAGCGGCACAGAAAGGCCCCACCGTGCCAACGAGGCATGAGTTGGAGTGTTCTCGGGTTCCTTGTTCGATCCCCTGGAGCCTCTATCCTGAATTCTGAAGATTCTTTACGGGGCCCGGACCCAAAGATACCAAATCTCTCGGGGCTTGCCGCGGCTTGTCGCGTGACCTTTTCAGAGCCAAGGTCCTCAAGACGGGTTTAGAGGGCTCCAAGAGGCTCCCAAGATGGCTCCGAATCGCCGAACGATCGCTCCAAGATGCCCAAGATGACCGCAAGACGGCCGAAACATGGCCCAAGACGTCCCAAGAGGCATCCAAGAGCCTTCCAAAGCGGGTCTTGGGGCCGATCTCATTGATTTCCCGCAGGTTCTTCAATGTTTTTGTGGTTCTCCTCTTCTCGAGCTCCCGACGCTCCAAGACGTCCCAAGCGGCACCCACGACCGCCCCAAGACGGCCCCAGAGGCCCCCGAGAGGGCCCCAAGACGGCCCAAGAGGCGCCCAAGACGGTCCAAGAGGGCCCCAAGAGTGGGAACACGTACCGAAAATCAGAGCCTGCCGCCCTAAGATGCCGCAAGAGGCCCCCAAGATGCCACCGAAAGGCCTCCCACGACATCCCAGCGAACATCCTAGAGGCCTGTGACCCACAACCCAGGCACGGTGGCGGGATGGGCCGAAGGCCATTCGATAAACTTTCGAAGGCCCGCGCGGGTTTCAGGGAGCGTGGACACCCCCTCTCTTGGCGCGCAGGATGCGCCAGGGGCGGCGCCAGAGGCGCCGCCAGGGGGCCCAGCGCCGATCCAAGAAATCTGCGCGGGCCTCCGACGGTCATCGCATCGTGCTATCATGAGCGGTTCCCTGACACGGATACAAGGAACGGTCCGACAAGCAGAGCCTCTCCTGGGGCCAAGGTGGTCCTTGTTTCAGAACCTGGGCTATCGGCTTTTAACCGCGGGGCTATGCAGGTGGGCTTCTGAACCGCACACCAGCTTGGCCAAAGACCCCTTCCCCGAGCGAGTAGGTCGCTCAGGGATATAATCGAGACGCCTCAAAAACGTCGAACCACACTCCCGAACGAGGATCGCTCAGGGACGGGTACCGATGACACTCACCCTTCACGCACGGTCAAACCCGTGTATAGAAGAAGAAACAACGGCATAAACATAAACTTTTGGCGGTCCGCGCGGATTTCTTGGATCTGGAGTGAACCTCCCTCCCTGGCGCGCGGAGCGCGCAGGGTGCGGCGCCGGAGGCGCTGGCGGGGGGCCCAGCGCGGATCCAAGAAATCCGCGCGGAGCGCCAAAAGTTGATGCTGATGCCGTTTTTCCTTCTTCGACTTTAGGGGCCCTGGCCATCTAAGATTCGGTAGTCTGAGCTTCAGAAAGAGTCAGAAGAGCACGAAACATCGTCAACTGGGGACATGCCCGACTTAAGGCTGCCGACAGCGGCCAATGGTGGGCTGGCGGCCTCCTGCCGCAAACGGACAACGACCGCGGCGGCGCCGACAGCGAACCCTCTGATCAGAAATGAACAAAGCCTGCTGTTGAACTCCGTACCCGTTGCTTCTGTAGCCATTTCGATCGTCCCGAATCTAGCATTAGGTCGGGCCTGTCCCCCTAAAGGGGGTTTTGGGCGAAACATTAAAAATACTCAGAACAAAAGAATCAAAAATAGTCTATCATCGTCCCCATACTATTTTTTGACTATTTTTGAATATTCCTCCTGTAGAGGAACAGGCCCGAATTCATTTTAGGATCCGGTAGTCTAGAGACCTCCTAGATGGGGTCCGACTAGATGGGGTCGGAGGATCGCGCCGCATCGCCAATGCATCGCCGATGTAACGGCGATGCGACGGCGATGCACCGGCGACGTCGGCGGTGCGTTGGCGACGTCGGTGTGGAGAAACATGGGCTCCACATCGAGCCGCATCGTCGATGCATCGGCGATGCGGCGCGATCCTCTCCGACCCCATCTACTCGGACCCCATCTAGGAGGCCAAGGTAGTCTGGGCTGCAGTGGGGGCCAGACCACAAGAAACCTTCCACGAGAAACCCAACCCCGAGACCCTGGGACGTCCATTGATTTTCAGTGCGGGAACGTCACGCTTTCCATATCGACACCCACCCGAGAAACCCAGGGCACCCTGGAGGCAAGCAGCGTGCCTCTTGGCATGGGCCCCCGCTGTACCCGCCCAAGCCGCTTCTTCTCCTCCGCTCCTCGGCGCTCAGCCGGGCCCCCTCGCGAGCGTTCCGGGGCGGCGACCCGCCGCCCGGCGCCGCCTCTCTCGGGCGCTCCAAGGCTGGGGGGTCCTTTTCTGGAGGGACGAGGAGGAGGAGAAGGAGGAGGAAGAGGAGGCGGAGGAGGAGGAGGAGGAGGAGGAGGAGGCGGAGGAGGAGGAAGAGGAGGAGGAGAGGCGGAGGAGGAGGAGGAGCAGGAGGAGGAGGAGGCGGAGGAGGAGGGAGGAGGGATGAGGAGGAGGGGAGGAGGAGAGGAGGAAGGAGGAGGAGGAGGGAGGAGGAGGAGGAGGAGGAGGAGGAGAAGGAGGAGGAGGAGGAGGAGGAGGAGGAGGAGAGGAGGAGGAGGAGGAGGAGGAGGAGGAGGAGGAGGGGAGGAGGAGGAGGGAGGAGGAGGAGGAGGAGGAAGAGGAGGAGGAGGAGGAGGAGGAGGAGGAGGAGAGGAGGAGGAGGAAGAGGAGGAGGAGGAGGAGGAGGGGGGAGGAGGAGGGGGAGGAGGAGGAAGGCCACGTCGGGATGAGCGGCCCCGGGCAAGGGGGGCGCCCGCCTGGGATCCGGGCGCTCGAGCAGAGGTGCTCTATTTCGTCGTCGCTGTGCCTCATGCTGTCTTCGTTTCGCCGCTGCCGCAGAAGAGGACTCAGTGCGAACGGGGCCCACGACATCGCCCAAACGCCGTGCCTGCTTGGGATCCCGCTCCCATCGTGGGCTGGGGAGGCCTGGGGCTCGAGATTGGAGGGCTTGAGCTGTCGGCCACACGTAAGGGTGGCCCTGAGCAAGAGTGAGCTTTGGTGCGCGGCTTTTCGGGGGCCGCGGGGGGACCAAACACAAGCGCGCAAGACGCTACTATCACATCGCGTTCGGCGATCGGGGGACCCCGGGCCCGCACCAAAAGTCACTCTGGCGAAGGGCCACTTTTACGGGTAGTCGAAACTGACCTTACGGGGCCGTCAGAAAGAAGGGCGAACCCCAGCCTAAAAACTGATGCGAACTCCCGCCGCAGACATCTCACGAACAACAGGACCGTCAAAAATCCACGACGGGATCATCAAAAACCGGCGGCACATCCGAGAGCATATACAGAGGGCGGCAAACAGGCATGCACATAAACTTTCGACGGTCCGCGCGGACTTCTTGGGATGGCGCTGGACTCCCCCTCCCTGGCGCGCGGAGCGCGCCAGGTGCGGCACCAGAGGCGCCGCCAGGGGATTCCAGCGCCGATCCGAGAATTCCGCGCAGACCTCCGAAATGTGATGCCAACCAAGAGGTCCGCGCGGAGCTCCGAACATTTCTGCTTATGCCGTGCTTTCTTCTTCAAGTCCTGGCAAGCTCGAATCTTGCGCTTACCCTTTTTCGGCGAGGGGGCACGATAGGCGGGGGGACCGGCTCAGGGGAGAAACATCGACCTGGAATCGGCGATGCATCGCCGATAGATCGGAGATAGACCCCCGACGGCGAAACCGCACGTTCCTGGACGGGGTGGGCCCATCGGGCCCCCCTTCGGCGATGAATAGGTGATCGGGGTCGAGAAGCATCCTCCCTGAGCCTATCCTTAGGTCGGGCATGTCCCCCTACAGGCGGATTTTTTGGACGACATATTAGAAATAGTCATAGCATGTTGAGAAATCTCCAGAAAACCTAGAGGCATCGTCTCCGGATTTTTGGATACTCCTCCTGTAGAGGAACACGCCCAACTTGAGCCTGTCCCGCCCCAACGTTGGCCCCGATCGAGGCCTCGGCCCTCAGTAGGGGAACGAACAATGGCACAAACATAATGACTCGGAGGTCCGCGCGGATTTCTCAGATCGGCGCTGGGGCCCCCTGGTGGCGCCTCTGGCGCCGCCCTTGGCGCGCGGAGCGCGCCAGCAGAGGGGGGTCCAGCGCGGATCCAAGAAATCCGCGCGGACCTGCGATTCTCTGCGCTTATGCCATATTCCGTTCCACGACTCAGAGCCCCATCTGGTGCTTGTCCTGGTCCTGGTCCCGGTCCTGGTCCTGGTCCTGCTCCTGGTCCCAGTCTTGGTCCTGCTCCTCCTCCTCCTGCTCCTCCTTTTCCTCCTCCTCCTCCTGCTCCTCCTCCTCCTCCTCCTCTTCCTCCTCCTTTTCTTCCTCCTCCTCCCCCCCCCCCCCCCTCCTCCTCCTCCCCCTCCTCTCCTCCTCCCCCCCCTCCTCCCCCCCCTCCTCCTCCTCCTCCTCCTCCTCCTCCTCCTCCTCCTCCTCCTGCTCCTCCTCCTCCTCCTCCTCCTCCTCCGGCCCGCGGCCCGGCTCCGCCGTGTCGGCCTGCCAGACGCCGAGCCCGAGCGCCGCGCGGGCCAGCAGCAGGGCGGCGGCGCAGGGCAGCAGCGGGGCGCGTGCCGCCATGGTCGGGAGTGTGGCGCCGGCGCGGGCGAGGACGGGGGACGAGAAAGCGCCATCACTCCCCAGGCATGCTCGCGTCGTTCATATCGCCGGGCGCGTTCCGCTACTCGCAGAGTGCCTACTCGCAGACGTCCGAAAAGCACCTGCGTTGACGTAAATTATCGGAAATCCCTGGCGGGGGGTCCAGGCCTTTTGCGAGTAGTTCCTTTGCGAGTCGTGGAACGCGCTCGTCGATAATAAAAAAGCAGGGCGGGAGGTTTCTGGGCCAATGTCGGCCTCGGGGGCCCTCGCCGGGCCTCGCCAGGCCGTCAAGCAACGACCCAAGACGAGAGACCGGCCCAGGACGCAAGGGTCTGGGCTTCCGGGGACGCCGCCCTGCAAAAATCAAGACGTGGTATGTCTGGGTCTGCGGTTGATATTGGGAGGCTGGAAACATCAAGGGCTGGAATCACTGCGGACAGATCGAAGGGTAGGAGCAGGGGACAAATCGCGCTCGCATGGGCCTGCAACGACGTAACACAGAGGGAGCCCATGCCCCGACAAACAAAAAACAAAGACTTTGTGGTAGCCCCGGAATCGCGCACTACCCCTTTGTTCAGTTTCGGCACGGCCCGGCGACAGAAATGCTGCCTGAAGTCCCGAGCATGCAGCACCACCGGGCCTGGCTCGCAAAAGTGTTTCCAGCCTCCCCGTAATCGGGGGCGCGCAAGCATGGATTAGTGATCCATGGATTTGGCGCGCGGTCGCCAAATCCATGGATCGGGGGAGGTGCCCTCCCAAAACTGCGGCCGGTGCCGCCTCGTTCGGCGGCGGAAATCCGCGATTTCCCACGGAAACGGGACCCGTCGCTAATCCACACCCCCTTGATCCATGTTTGCGATCGCCTGACGTAGGCGTGGGGGGGTCCTCCCCCGACGGGGGTCAGCGTCAACCCGTCCGCGCGTCGCGACGGGGGTCGGATTCGCTCCGGCGGCGCACCGCGGGGTGGGCGGGTGGGGTCATTCTGGCGCTGCAGCGTTGGCCCCCGCGACGGGGGTCGATCTGGGGCTGTCAGCGGTGGCGCCCCCTACACTCCTACTGCCAGACCGCAGAGTAGCATCAACGTTCGGAAGTCCGCATGGAATTCTTGGATCGGCACTGGGCGCCCCTGGTGGCACCTCTAGCGCCGCTCCTGGCGCGCTCCGCACGCCAGGGAGGGGGGGCCCGGCGCCGCTCCAAGGAATCCGCCTGAACATTCGAAATCTTATGCTGATGCCGTTTTCTCGTCTTTGAGATGAACGTGGATGGGTAACAGAAGAACCGATAAGGAAAGGCCGCGAGCCCAGATGGCGACGACTGGGGGGGGCTGACGACGAGGAGGAACAGGAGCAGGTCGCGCGGAAAGAGAGAGAGAGAGAGAGGCACAGGTGCGCACGAACACCTGTACGCATGCGCGTGCGAGGATGGGTGACGTGCACTCCTGGGCTCGCCTACCATGACTGTTACAGCGCTCGGCAGGTCGTGCCCGGTCCGAAAATCTCGGGCTGCTGCACACCGCGCATCTCCTGGACGTGGACCCCTCGAGCAGGAACCGCCCCCTCGGCCTCTCGGGAGCAGGCCGTGGAGCAGGCGAGAGCCGTCCAACCGCGACCTCGCGAGGCGATGGATCTGATGGAAACCACGACGACCTGGCACACGGAAGGCTCGTCTCGCATCGACCTGGGCGCTGGTTTCCGACACCGCGTGGATCGCTCAGCCTGGAAGAATAGCGGCTCTCCGATCGCGCAGATCGTTCGAGGTCGGCCGGTTCCGAGCGGAGGAGGAGGAGGAGGAGAAGGAACAAGAGGAGGAGGAGGAGGAGGAGGAGGAGGAGGAGGAGGAGGAGGAGGAGGAGGAGGAGGAGGAGGAGGAGGAGGAGGAGGAGGAGGAGGGAGGAGGAGGAGGAGGAGGAGGAGGAGGGGGGAAGCGGCGCTCAACCTTGCACGACCCCGCTGGGGTCGCGGCACGTCGACACGACACGAGCCTGCGGTACGCTCCTCGCCCCCAGGGCCCCCGCAACGCAGAGCCGCCGCGCGGGCGCGCGCCCTCTCGTCGACACGCGCCACGGGGCCGGCGGGGCGCGCCGCCCAGACGACACCGGCCGCCGCTTCCTCCGACCCCCCCCGAGCTCGAAGACGCATGGCAGGATCCTCTTCCTCGTCCTCCTCCTCCTTCTCCTCCTGCTCTTCCTCCTCCTGCTCTATCCACCTTCCTCCTCCTCCTCCTCCTGCTCTTCCTCCTCCTCCTCCTTCCTCCTCCTTCCTCCTCGTCCTCCTCCTCCTCCTCCTGCCTCAGAAGGCCTCAGCAGAGCAGGCACGTAGTGGCCCAGGCCCGCGACGGGCACGGACTGAGGCAAGGAGCGCGCCGCGTGGAGAACGCATGGGGCTCGAGGAAGCAGCAGCGCCTCATGGCGGCGAGGAGGAGGATGATAAGAAGGACGGCGACGACGACGACGGGGAGGAAACGACGGAGGAAGGGGAGGGGGAGGAGTAGGAGGGCGAAGGAAGAGGAGGAGGAGGAGGTGAGGGATGCCAAAAGTCTGCCCTGGTCGCGACACCTCACTTTCCTGTTGAACACCATGTGGGACCTGCTCTAGAACAGGAGCACACAGCAGACGGACCCACCCCTTCTCCGACCTCGCGCCGCGTCGAGCGTAACGGCCGCGCTGTCTATGTAGACGTCTCCACCCCGCATGCGCCTGACTATGCACAGAGCGACATCCCATGTGGCCATGGACGCTTGTTAGCCATGTAGGCGAGAGCGGTACTTGGCATGGGCCCTAAACACGGGTCTTCTCTAAAACGGGTGAGCCACGATCAAAAACGGGTCTGACGCGAGATGACGTAGCGACCCCACGCGGCGGCTTGCGCGGGCCGCCTGCGCGGGCACGCCACATTCAGAGGCCTCCTGGATTGGGTCGGAGTAGATGGGGTCGGAGGACGGCGATGTATCGGCGATGCATCGGTGATGTACCGGCGATGCATCGTCGACGTCGGCGATGCATCGGCGCCGTCGACGTGGAGAACATCGGGCTCCACGTCGAGCCGCATCGCCGATGCATCGGCGATGCAGCGCAATCCTTCGACCCCATCTACTCGGACCCCATCTGGGAGGTCTCTAGAACACTGGAGACGAGGTCGCTTACGCGCGACCTTACGCGGGCAGCTTACGCGCCAATGTCGGCGCAGACGACCCCGTTCTTTGGCGCTGCTCAGGTGGACGTGTCATTGCACCGGCCTTGCAGACGTACTGCAGCGGATCTCTGCGTGGATTTTTGCCCGAAGCGGCGAGCGAAAAACCAACATACTTTCGCGTAGATTTTTCTTGGTCCTCATCCCTGGCCAAAACAAGCTCCGCACGGAGTTCACCTCGAACTCCGGAGCGAAATTCTCCAGGACTCGCCGGGCCCATCTGATCGGTTCCCCGAACGAAATCCGCTCCTGGCCATCGCTCGGACGCCCATTCCATGTGCCTGGAGAACCCAAACCACACACAGAAAAGATTGCACACGCTTGCCTGTTCCAGAATCCGGGGCCCGCCGACCAGGGTCCAGCCAGACCCTGGCCAGGCAGGCGTTTGCGGGATCCTGCAGGTCCTCCTCCCTTTCCTGAGCCGCGAGAGGTCCTGAAGTGGGCCGCACCGTCGGACCACTCCGCGCGGCTGGCCCAGAAGTCTGCCGTCTTCAGCACCAACCCCTCCGCGGCGTGCTTCAGCCAACTCGCGTTGTGCGAGGCGTACCTCACCGCCGGCCCCAGGAGGAGGAGGAGGAGGAGGAGGAGGAGGAGGAGGAGGAGGAGGAGGAGGAGGAGGAGGAGGAGGAGGAGGAGGAGGAGGGAAGGAGGAGGAGGAGGGGAGAAGGGGGAGGAGGAGGGGGAGGGGGAGGAGGAGGAGGAGGAGGAAGAGGAGGAGGAGGAGGAGGAGGAGGAGGAGGAGGAGGAGGAGGAGGAGGAGAAAGAGGGAAGAGGAGGAGGAGGAGGAGGAGGAGGAGGAGGAGGAGGAGGAGGAGGAGGAGGAGGAGGAGGGGGAGGAGGGAGAGGAGGGGAAAGAGGCAAGCCAGGCGCGCTCGCCCAGCACTTCCCATTGCGCTGCTCTGTCTCTGTCCGCCGACGGGTGCTGCAGCGGACCTGGAAGCCTCTGGAGGACCCCGCGTTGGGCGCCAGCAGAAAAAAGGGAGCTGCGTACACTGGTCGGGTGCTGCTAGAAGTACCCCTGGCCCAAGGGGCCCCCAGCTTTTCGCTCCATTTTGCACCCCCTGGGGCCCTCTGGGCCTCGTGGGGTGTGCTTTGGAGGCCGTTTGGGCTACCCCGGGAATCCTGGGGGCACCTTGGCCCTGGGGCACTTCTAGCACCACCCGAATTGGAGGAGGAAGTGCCGGATGAGCAGGAGAGTGAGGAAGGAGGAGGACGAGGAGGAACAGCAACAGCAGGAACAGGAGTGGGATGAGCGGGAGAAGCATGCATACCAGGGAATGCGGGGGAGGCGAAATCCAACTAGCCCTCTGGGCGTAGGTGGTCTAACGATATCTTCATTTCCTCTTCCAAAGACACCCCTCTTCCCTTCGGGGAGGGGTACCCTCCCCCTCCCCTCCCTGGGCTTTTTTTGGGGGGGTCGCGAGGAGTTAGAGCGTCCAAGATGGCCCAAGATGGCTCCAAGAGAGCCTCCGATGCTCCAAGATGGCCTCCAAGATGCCTCAAGATAGTGCAAGATCGCTCAAGATGACCTCCATCATGCCTCCAAGAGGCCTCAAGAAGGTCACAAGACGGTTCCGCAGACCTTTCAGGACCTCCCCAAGAAGCCAACATCCTTCAAACACCTAAGGACAATTGCTGATGTTTGCCTTCTCGCCTATCCGCTTCCGATGCGCTTTTGAGGCCTCAAGATGGCCCAAGAGAGCCCCCAGAGGGACTCAAGAAGCTCCCAAGACGGCTCCAAGAGCGCCCCAAGAGGACTCCAAAAGCGCCCCAGGAGGCGGTTTTGAGGGCCCCAGGGGGGGATCAACATAAGTTATAAGAGACCCCTTCCTTTGATTGATGGCCTCCAAGGTGGTTCCAAGAGGCCCTCCAGGGCTCCCAAGAGGGTCCCAAGAGGGCCTCAAGAGAGCTCCAAAAGAGTCCCAAGAGGGCTCCAAGACGGCCTCCAAAGCGCCCAAGAGCGCCCCAAGGGGGCTCCAAGGGGCGGTTTGAAGGCTCCTACAAGGGGAGCTGAGTTGGGACCCCCCCCTCCTCTCCTTGCCCGCCGTGATTCACTATAGGCGTCTCTCCTTTCCATTTTCCGTCAGCTCTCATGGGCAAGTCTTCTGAATGGGCTGGCGGGGACTTGTTTTTTCGCGGCCACAAGCGACGGCGCAGGCGGCGTCAGAAGTCGTCCCGGGCTACGTGCGAAACCTAATTATCCAGCGAACTGGTGGGGCTACTTTTTCCTCGCGGGCGCTAGCGGACGCGCAGGCGCCGAGTCGAAAGGTCCTGGCCACGGGCCGATCTAATTGGCAACGCGCGAGCCGAGAAGCACAGCGACCGAGCCCGGAATCAGAACCTACCGCCGGTGAGCTGGTGGGGCTACGCGAAGCGTGAAACACTGGCGGGGCGACGGCGGTGAGGGAGGTCTCGGATCCAGAAGTGTGGGCCGTGCTGGGGCGAGAGCGCCATTCGGAATCACAGGAGCAGAGCGCCGATCGTTGAATGAGGCTCGCGCTGCAACGGGAGTATCAGGTTGAAAGCCCGAGAACCTTTCCCAACGAAGCAGAACCATAAGATGAAGCACTTGATAAGATCCGTTGTGCACAAAAACACGCACACGGAGAAGCCGGGATACTTTCAGGACGTAGTCGGGGGAGACAGGATAGCAGTACTCATTTTCGTGTGCAAGAATTGTAAGCGAGGAGAAAAAGGTAGAGGAGAAGGAAGAGGAATATCCGCCACCATGCCGCTGGGCACGGAGTGGGCGTGTCCTCAGGTCCTTTGCCCTATCCTGTGAGCCTCAGTCCTCCGCCCGGAAGAGATGTTTTAGGGGCTGGGGCCCAGATTTCGGAAATCTTGTGGGCTCGGCGCGTGCCCTCGGGGGTTCCCGGCATCCTGCCGCATGACGTTTTCGGGCCCGAGAGGGCCACAAGACGGGCCAAGATGGTCCAAGATGATCATTCCATGACGTTCAAGATGGCACCCAGACGGCCCAAGAGGCCGCCCTGGCGCCTCAAGAGGCCTCCAAGAGGCCGCCCTGGAGAACCCCGAGAGGCACAGTTCATTGATGATCTTCCCTTTCTTCTCCTTGTTCTTCGTCTTCTTGTTGTGCATTACTATCAGATTGCTGTTATTCTTCCTCT